ATTTCTATATATATATATATATATGTGTGTGTAGACATTAGTTTATTAGTACTTATTGTATTTATGATTTATAAATACCAAATAATAATGCATAAAATATGTTTTGCTTAAATGTTTAAATACATTATATATGTATTATAATGTTTAATTTCTATATATGTATGTATGTATATATAATATATATATGTGTGTGTGTGTGTGTGTGTGTAATTACTATAACATATATAATGCATTTATCTAAATAAAATTTAATTCTAAATAAAGTATTTTCATTTATCATTTATGATAAACATTATAGACATTAGACATTAATTATACATCTATATATTTATTATATATATATCTCTGTAGTGCAAGAACCAATATAAACTCTCACATACTCTTTCGTTTCAGGGTCAGTCTTGCTCAGGGTTCCATAGCCTTCTCTCTTTCCACACCTCCAGTCCCCATCATAGAGCATTCCTGTTTTCTTCCAAACCTGTGCTCCTTTTCCTTATCAGAGTAAAAGCTATGTTCAGGAACATTTTGTTAATGGAGGCAAATTCAGCCAAATCGAGCTTTAATAAGCAGCGTTTCCTAGGAACACATAATGTAATCTGCAGAACACATCTAAATAACAAAGTAAATTAAATTAAGGCTTGTCCGTTAAAATTGCCAGTCTTCTTACTGTGATCCTCAAAGCCTCTAATGTTTAAAACATGCCATTAAATATTCAATCCAATAAATATGACCATGTTTCTTATTATCCATCCACTCGCCTGTGTATTGATCTCCATTGACTGAATACACAGTGTGATGCGGGCCACATTTTTGGTTTTACAAGTTTTACAAGTGGTTCTGTAGTCCGGGGTCTCTTCAAGAAGGGCATACTGTACATAAAAAGATGACTATTATCATTAAAATATTATTAGCTTGAACATGCTAGCACTAAATTACTTTTTGTTGGTTTTTCTGCACTTAAAAAGTGCAATTACAATAAAAGTTGAGTAAGGTAATCATAAAGTAGGTCTATTAGCACCTGCTCAGACCTTACCTGTTACCAAATTCACCATCCAAATCACTTAAATAAACTTAAAACAGTTATATTTAATCTGCAATAGTCAAACTGCTCGATCTCGACTGACCTGTCAAAGGAATTCGTGTGCGGTAACCTAGCAACAAGCATTCAGCCTTGACTTATATTTATATTCGCTGACGCTCCCAGTCATTAGGTGGCGATGTCATCCTCGGAATCTTACGCTCGCCTGTGATTGGTGGATGGGTGAAGAAGCGGAGCTGATATAAATAGCTGGAGCGCCTACTAGCGGCAGTGTGTGGCAGAGCAGCGCCAGCGCAGACGGGTACAATGTCACTAGAGAGATGTCAAAGTGAATGGACAGAAATAGAGCAAGAATATCAGCAATTACAGGTTTGAACAGAACGGATATGTGTTATATTAGTGCTCCGATAGACGAAAAATGACTCTTGTGTTAGTAAGGAAGAATATGTGTCTGTTTTGGATGTTTATGACGCGGCTAACAGGCTTTAGCTCATCAGATTAACTGATTTTCTTTTATTACTGTACATGTGTATTAAACCGGCATCAGTTCTGAAAAAAAACGTATTAAAATGACTCCATATATTCGTTTATATATTGTATTCTTGTAATAAATGTGGTGTGTTAGTAAAGTAGGTCTGATAATGATTCCCGAATTGAACTGGTTAAGCCAGGTTAGATGTTAACCAAGAGTTGTTGCTCAACTTTAAAAATGATCGTCTAATCGATTCGTGATAGACAGGGTTAGATTACAGGATGGCGAAGCTCTAGACTCCAGGGGTTTGAATACTACTAAAAAGTCCTTTTTTGGGGGGCTTGATACCATGGTAACACTATGTTTTTGTTTTGTTTGTTTTTGTTTTTTTATACATACCATGATAGTACCCTGGTATTTTTTGAATTTCCCTGGAGTACCATGTAAAAACCTTAAGTAAAAATATTCAGTACTATGGTACAAATCAAAGAACCGTAGTATTGCCATCATTTATAATTTAACCATGTAAATACCATTGTAGCTGAATATGGTAGTCATTCAGTATTCATCACCACTCATCTAGTAACGGGCCTGGTTAGAGTTGATAGAAAGGATTGGCCCATGTTTAAAATGCCCTTCTCATGTTCAAAATGACTCATGCTTAAAATGGAGCATCCAGAGGATGCCATGTGCCCATTGAAAGGTCATGCATGTATTAGGAAACGTTTCTGATTTGATTTTGACTTCCATGTTTTAGGAAACGCACAAAGTCTACAGACTGAAGCTGGAGGAGCTGACAAACCTGCAGGCGATATGCAGCAGTGCCATTAGCAAACAAAGAAAAGCCCTGAAAGACCTCAAGCATAGTCTTCATAAGTATGAGCCGAGTTTCAGATGTTACTAAAGATCTTGAGGACACATTCACAATGATGTAAACGGATCTTTTTTTTCTTTTTTTGTTGAAAACAGGTGTACGAAAACTCGCAGTGAAAAAGAAACGGAGGTGATAAATGACCTGCAGGTCCAAATTAAAGAAAGGCAAAATGTCTTTTTTGACATGGAGGCCTATTTGCCAAAGAAAAATGGGTGAGTTTTAGTTCTTCGTTCTGAGTGTGTTATTTATAATACCACTGTTGTGAGGTTTGGTTTTGAGGCTTTCCTACTATCTTACAACTGTTGTCTTCTTTCAGATTGTACTTAAATTTAGTACTAGGAAATGTGAATGTCACACTCCTCAGCAACCAAGCCAAGTGAGTCAGATGTGAGCATGTCCATTGAGCGGAGAGAGATTTCCCAATACAAAATTGCTGATTTTGTGTTTTACACAACAGGTTTGCGTACAAAGACGAATATGAGAAGTTCAAACTTTATATGACTATAATACTAATGTTTGGTGCCGTCACCTGCCTCTTCCTTTTCAACTACCGGTAAGACGAGAGATCTGAATAGTTTAATGTTATTTATTTAATTTAATGTTATTAATAATTTAACGTCCCATTCACAGGGTTACAGATGAAATCTTCAACTTTTTATTGGTGTGGTATTATTGCACATTGACAATAAGAGAGAGTATCCTCATGAGCAATGGGTCACGGTGAGTTCAGTTTAAAATACATTTGATCAATGCTATGACTTAACGCTACGCTATGTCAATGCTATGACCACTTAGCTGTGGTGCTAGTGGGAGATTCAGGTTTGAATCTCTTTTCCCAGTATTTTGCTGTCCTCCTTCTATTCTATCAATTAACAATGTGGTTTGGGGCTCAAAATAAAGTAAAGTGAACTTTGGTTGTATTATTTTATTTGTTTGTTTGTAGTATTTTATTTTGTTTCTTTTTGTTTATTTATTTAGTTGCAGTATTTTATTTATTTGACCATTTGTATTGTATTTTGTTTGTTTTTGTTTATGTATTTGGTTGTAGTATTTTATTTTGTATTTCTTTGTCTGTTTATATATTTATATGGTCGTGGCATTTTTATTTAAATTTTTTATTTTTTGTGTGTATTTATTTGGTTGTAGCACTTTGTTTGTCTGTTTATTTATTTGGTTGTAGTATTTTATTTATTTGACCATTATTGTATTTAGTTTGTTTTTGTTTATGTATTTGGTTGTAGTATTTTATTTTTATTTATTTATTTGGTTGTAGTATTTAATTTTTTATTTCTTTGTCTGTAGTACTTTATTTTTTATTTCTTTGTGTGTTTATATATTTATATGGTCGTGGTATTTTTATTTTTTTGTGTGTATTTATTTGGTTGTAGCACTTTGTCTGTTTATTTATTTGGTTGTAGTATTTTATTTTTATTTATTTATTTGGTTGTAGTATCTTATTTTTATTTATTTATTTGGTTGTAGTATTTTATTTTTTATTTCTTTGTCTGTTTATATATTTATATGGTCGTGGCATTTTTATTTTTTTGTGTTTATTTGGTTGTAGCACTTTGTTTATTTATTTGGCTGTGGTATTTTATCTTGTTTGTTTGTTTGGCTGTGATTGTTAATTTATTTGGTTGTTTTTGTTTATTTTGATGTATTTTATCTATTTATTCAGTATGTAATTTTGTTTAATGTATTATGAAGCATGATTATGATTTATGTTGTATTGATTTATTGTTTCTTACTAGAATTAAAGGTTGGTGGGTGTCACATCACTACGTCTCAACCTTTTTATCAGGTGTTATGTTGACATGGTAAGTGTTTAGGCCACAAATCATATAACGTATTCATTTTTTCCCATCACTGGCTTGTATTTCATCACCACTCTCTGTTTCTGTCTTTCAAGGCCAGAAGGTTCAATGTATCAGATGTTCAGAAGTCAGTTCCTGGCTTTCTCCATCTATCAGAGTGAGTATAATCTATTAACTGCTCTCTGTGGGTTTTTATGTGTCTTTTGTTTGTTGTTAGAATGTTTAATGTTGATGGTTTATGTTTCTCTGGCAGGTTGTGTGCAGTTTCTTCAGTATTATTATCAGAGCGGCTGCTTGTATCGGTTACGGGCTCTGGGGGAAAGAAACCAGCTGGACCTGACTGTGGGTAAGAATTGTGACTGATTTGAATCCTGGGAGAAATGTTGATCTGGATGATGTCATCGTTTCACGCTGCAGCTGTTAGATGCTGCAGACCCCAGACTGACCTCTCATGTTACTTTTACAGAGGGCTTTCAGTCGTGGATGTGGAGAGGGCTTACATTCCTCCTTCCGTTTCTATTCTTTGGCCATGTGAGTACCAGCATTTAACTGTTGCCTGTACCTTTTTTTTTTATGTTGATTCTCATGCAACCTTTAAAGGTCATGCAATCTTAAAAAGTTTGTCTATGAAAATTGTCATGCATTTGACAGTGTAACATCTATGTAGTTCATATAACTGTGTGGATTTTAAAATGTTTGGGGTTAGTAAAAAAAAAAAATTTTTTTTTTTTTTTTAAAGAAATTAAGACTTCTATTTGGCAAAGACACATTAAATGGATCAAAAGGGGCAGTGGAGACATTTATAATGATACAAAAGATTAAAATATATATATATTTAATTAATCAAAGAATCCTGACAAAATCTATCACGGTTTCCACAAAAATATGAAGCAGCACAACTGTTTGCAACATAATAAGAAATGTTTCTTGAGCAGCAAATCAGCATATTAGAATGACTTCTGAAGGATGTAATACTGAAGACCGGAGTAATGATGCTGACAATTCAGCATTCCATCACAGGATTAAATTATATTTTATAATATACTGAAACAGAAAAGTTTTTTTTTTTTAATTGCATTAATATTTCAAAATGTTACTGTATTTTTGATCGAATAAATGCAGCCTTTGGTGAGCATGAGAGACTTCTTTCAAAAACATTTAAAAAATTTACAGACCCTGAGCTTTTGAACAGTATTATATATTGATTCCGTTGACAGGCATGTAAGTGAATTGTGTTGTTTTCTCTCCTCTGGTCAGTTTTGGCAGCTGTACAATGCTGCGAGTCTTTTTAAGCTGTCTGCCCGTGATGACTGCAAAGAATGGCAGGTAAAGAGAGCGGCTGAAGTTGTCAGACATCACTATTATTGCTCAAAACCCCAAGTATTAGTCTTCTGCACATTTCTCATACTGGTATTCATTTTGCCAGTATTGCAAATAGATTTTTGCACTTAAATGTTTTGTTTTCCAGGTGTTCATGTTGGCCTTGACGTTTCTCGTCCTGTTCTTGGGAAATTTCCTCACAACTCTAAAAGTGGTCCACCAGAAGCTCCAGACGAACAAAGAAAAGGTTAAAAATAACTGACAAGACGCCAACTGGAAGATTTCATACGCAGCGAGGCCAGTGTGGAAGTCACAGAACTGAACTTCAAAGCGCACAAAACTGTTTCGTCTATAGGAGTCGCGTCCCACAAGCTGTTTGGAGAGGGTTGGAAGTAGATGTTGACGTCTCCGCGAACTCGTTTCTGCAGCGGCAGTGAAACTCAATGTTGTCTGCCATGTTGTTTTTGCTCATATTTATGCAGTCACAGCAATTAGAGGGTAATGTTTGGCTATAAACTACTGACAACTTTCAGACACTGTATACTCAATAAGTGAGGAGACTTCAGTTCACTTTTGTTTTGTTCCTGTGCATGAATATGTTTACAATAAGCCACATTTAAAGTTTATGCAATGCAGCAGGAAGGCTACAGAACTGCAGTTGCTCAGTTCATTGCAGCATCTCAAAGGGATTTATGTTATTGTTTTTTTTTAAAGCTGGATAGTGATTGAAGTACTTGTTCTCATACAAGGCATTTTAGCTGAAGCATATTCTTTTGTTGGAAAGCATTGATGCAATGCAACTTCAAGGGAAAGGTGTGTTTTGCACGTTGCGGTTGTTAGTACAGTGCTTGAGCAAGGCCAAAGAATTAAAGAAATCGTTCAACCAAAAATGAAAATTTGATTAGAATTTACTCATCCTCAGGCCATCCAAGATGTAGATGAGTTTGTTTCTTCATCAGAACAGATTTGGAGAAATTTAGCATTACATCACTCGCTCACCAATGGATCCTCTGCAGTGAATGGGTGCCGTCAGAATGAGAGTCCAAACAGCTGATAAAAACATCACAATAATCCACAAGTATTCCACACCACTCCAGTCCATCAGTTAATGCCTTGTGAAGCGAAAAGATGTTTGCAAGATACAAATCCTTCATTGAGACTTTTTTTTTTTACTTAAAATATGAGTCCTCTATCTATAATATTGCTTTCTCCAGTGAAAAAGTTAATCAATCATGTTTGTGGATTTTGATGTGAGAGGACAACAGCAGATGGTCTTTTATACTATAGGAAGTGAAATGATGGATTATGAACTGGTATTTTGACCAGAATTGACTGTTTAAACTTCTTAATGATGGATTTGTTTCTTACAAACACGCAGCTTTTAACTTCATAGGATGTTAACTGATGGGCGGGAGTCGTGTGGATTACTTGTGGATTATTGTGATGTTTTTATCAGCTGCTTGAGCTCTCCCATTCTGACGGCACCCATTCACTGCAGAGGATCCATTGGCGAGCAAGTGATGCAATGCTGAATGTTCCAAATCGGTTCCAAAGAAGAAACAAACTCGTCTATAATTCAGTGAATTTCCAGCAAATTTCACTTTTGAGTGAATTATTTCTCTAAGGTCACATGATATTCCCTGACACCTTGAAAATGTGGATTTGTATTTTTAATGATGGCAATAAAGCTCCGGTAACACTTCATAGTACATTTGAATCAAAAAAGAAGCATCGCTTTTTTTTCTTGCTTTGTTATTTTTACGTGTTTGGAAGTTGTATTCAAAGTCATAGACATGTAACGGCATTTTAAGTCAGAATAACAAAAATGTTGAACTACATCTTGAAAAATGGGAATGAATGCTTTTAGAATTACATCCGCTGTAATAGTACAAACCAGTATGTGTTTCTGGTACTTTGACTGACCGTGTCAAAGAAAAAGCATATTGTTTTGTTTGTTAATGCCACATTTTTTTCAAGGTACACCATCAGGGAGTTTGCAGACAAGACCTTTTTCCTATGTGATATTACAGATGCAAGTAGTGACAGAAGTTGCATTTGGTTACTGGATGATTTGTTTGCCTTAATGCTCTCCTTTGCCTGTTCACACCTGGTTTAGATTAGCCTAGAACCCAAGTGTTACAAGTTGTTTGGAATTTCATGGGCTCAGTGAACTGTACCTGAAACAAAAAGCTGTAATTAAACGGCATTTCTCATGTTGGGAAATGCTTTATTGCACAATTAGCCACTGCGTAAATCATGCGTAATAGTTGTCACTCTTCACAGTGTGATTTTGTAAGTGTTTTGTGTTGAAAGAAATAACTGCACTTTTTGCTTGAACGTAAAATAAGCCTTCAGACTGGGGGAAAAGAAGGTTTTCAAAGGACCGATTAGATATTAAGTTGGATTTCTATTGCCCTTCTGTTGCTATAGAGCAAATAAATTCAATCTGATGCAATCTGTGTGGCCTCGTGTGAAAATCTGTTACTTAGGCCCTCACCACCAGAGGGAGCAAGAGTGGAGCATGTGCTTCTACTTGGGGCTTGTGGGTGATATACAGGTGCTATATTTATTATTTACTCGTTTAGTTATAAAGCTCGGTGTAGTCTAGTGTCTAGCTATTATTATTATGTCCAGTTTTAGAGCTTTATTTAATGGTTACGGTTTTATTTGTTATTATATTAGTGTTACAAATATACCGTATTTATGGAATACAATATATAAAACAAACTATATATTATAATTAATAAAATAAATTATTTCAAAACAGTGCAGAGTAGCTTCAATGAAATTGTCAGTGAATTCATATTGATAATATTTTCATGCTTATACGTAGCCTAGGCTTCCGTTACCGCAGTTGCATCCTGCTAAGCAGGAGTTTTTGCGCTAACCACAAGAAGATCACTCTTGTATTCTGAGCAAGTTTGTTTTGTTAAAGAAAGCAGAGATTTTCACTCATATGTCTAATATCTGAAAACTGCATTATGCAAATGAAAAGTACCTGTGTGCCGATGCAGCCGTAGCTAGGCTATAAAAGAGCTACAGAAGTGACTTCTTCCTGTTTCACACATGATTCACTTCAGTAGGCAAAACACCTAAAAACATATGTGTGCACAATATATAACTTAAAATATCACGGGTTTATTTGTGCAAATACACTCAGGCAAATGGTTTTCAAATGATCCAACACTTTCTGGCGTCTATGTGAGATCTGAAGAAGTTATCGAGATATAGTAAATCAACCTGAAAGAAACAAAAATGAAATTCTAGCCTAGTTAAAATGTTGTAAATGGTGGTGGTCTACACACAGACTGATATTTCTACAAATCAGGATTTTTGTACACCACAGGCCTCCTTTTTTGTTCAGACAGCTTTATATAATATATAAACTCACAAAATACTGTAACTCAAAAACTGCTGTGTAAGTTGATAACATGAATTGCACACCCAGTGTAACATAGTGGCTGTTACTTCAGTTAGTTGTGCGTTACCATTATAAACAACACAGAATGTAACCAAATTCAAAGTGTGACCATGTGATGTATAGTCATCCCTGAGACATCAGCAGCAGTTTTTCCATCTCCTGTTGGATCCACGATCATGGAAGACCAAATTCCATCAAGTCATATCAGTAACACCAGCAGAAGGATGTGGTGTGGACCACTACAAACTTATCAAACACACACTGGTGAACTCTGTCAAAGAGTAAGCCTTGCTTGGTGGGCAGATTATGAGAAAACGCACACCACAAGCATGTCCTGAAAAATATTCCTCCATGGAAGCTTAAACAATAGTGAGAAGCTTTGCAGATGGTTTTTGGAATTTTTACAAAATATCCTAGTTCATATATACAAAACTTGAACAAATGTGTTCCTTCTGGTAATGGTCACAGGATGGTGCAGCGTTTCTTCTTCTTGCGACGATGTCTTGCTTTAGCTCTGGCCGATAGCGCTCGCTTTGTTGCCTCTCTGAAAATGTCCTCTACGTTTTCTCTATATTTAGCTGAACACTCCAGGTATACCTCAGCGTTCATTTGCTTCTTGATCTCTTCACCCTAAGAAAGAGATATGAAGGTTGGTTACTCAGTAAACATATCTATCTATCTATCTATCTATCTATCTAAGTGACAGTAAAGACATTTATAATGTTACAAAGAGCACATTTCTATTTCAAATAATAAATGTTATTTTTTTACTTTTTTATTTTTAAGTAACATGGTTTCCACAAAAATATTAAGTAGCACAAATGTTTTAAACACTGAATGTGTGTGTAGACAGACAGACAGATAGATAGATAGTAAATTAAAAATCTAAATATTTAAAAAATATATAACTACCATTCAAAATGTTGGGGTTAATAAGTTTTTTATTTATTATTATTATTTTTATTTTTTTTAATGAAATTAATACTTTTATTCAACAGGGATGCATTAAATTAATCAAAAGTGACAGTAAAGACATTTATAATGTTACAAAGAGCACATTTCTATTTCAAATAATAAATGTTATTTTTTTACTTTTTTATTTTTAAGTAACATGGTTTCCACAAAAATATTAAGTAGCACAAATGTTTTAAACACTGAATGTGTGTGTAGAC